AGGGCTGAAAATAGGGATGACTTTCCCGATCCCACTCTTCCCACGATCGCAACCAACGATCCCTTCTTCACATTCAGTGTAATATCCTTTAGAATCGGCTCTTCTTCTAAACCCCACGAAAAGCAACTCTTTTTCAAACACACGGCATATCTCTCATCACTTGAATCATCTCTTCTCTCATCCCTTTCCACACTTTCCTCCAACTCTTCACAACTTAAATATTTGCGAATTCGTCGAAAAGAGACAATAGCTCGAGTGAAAAAAGACAAAGTATATGGAAGTCTGTATTGATAGTAAATTAAAAAATATATAGTACTCCTAATAAGTTAAAATTCTCGTAGTTTTATACCTTGCTATTGGTATCCGGAATATATTGATCACAGACACTGAGACAAATGCTGTCTTAGCAGTCAATGCTAAACCACTCGCATAGATATAAACAGTGAATGTAACCGCTGTCATAATAAAGGGCACTGCCATCCAACTAACATAGACAACTGAGACAAAGTAATTGAAAATTTTTAATTTATACAACTCTTGATGTCTGGTTATCGATATCCTATCCATAAACGGCTTCTCCCATCCAAACAGTTTGAGAAGTTTTATATTATTTAACACTTCACTGATTTGTTTCATTCGCATATCCTTTAACTCCATTTGTTTGGTCTGAATTTTCTCAATGCGTTTATATATGAATGAAGTCAATGGGAAGACTGCTGCCATCACTACAAACACCATCAGTGATGAGGGACCCAATTGTGACCACAGAATGTATTCACCGATTATAAAACATAAGGGTATTGTATATGAGCAAGTTGCCGCCCGGTGAAAGTCACATAACTCTCCCACATCGACACTCATTATGTTATTTATTTCGCCTTTAAATTCAATCATTTTAAATATAAAACAATGTTTTGAAAGAATTTCTACGATTTCTATTCACTAACCTGTTGTGTAATTACGACGAGAACCGGCACTAAGTCTTAGCATTTTCTTATAGATAGCTGTTGTAAGAGACGACCGAACCCTATATGAGGCCAACATTGAGAACAAATTGGAGTGACATTCAAATAGTCTGGCCATCAGAGTGCAGACACAGAAAGCGATGGCATAATAGACTCCGTGCCACATATGGTCGGTGCCCGACACAAAGTCTATTAGTTTTGCGAGAATATAGGGCTGAATAAAATCGGCAGCTATTTTGCATAGGGCTAAGACTGTAGCGATTGTATAAGTGCTCCAAACAGTCGATGAAATCAATGGCAATAATCTTATTTCAGGCTTTAATTTGTTTGGATTGTACTTCTTATTCGCCGATTCAAATGAATTGTAAGCATTCTTTGACTTTAAAAACTCACAAATAGGAAGTAAATGTGGAGTCAAATCTTCATTTGATTTATAGCCGTGTTTTAGGATGTTTTTGATCCAAACTACAAATATCTTCGAGAATATATTGAAGTCATTCATCGGACATTTGGTCTCATATCCAGACCCTAACAATTCAAATTCAGACACTCTCTGTGCTAAACATGAGATGATTAGTGCCTGACTAGAGAGCAGTATTTCAAAGATATTGAATACCACATCAAACTTAGGGATACTTTCATGATTTGTGGCATATATTTGATACAAACTAACGGAAACAATAAATAGATTTGTGAGCCATAGGACAGGTATTGAAGTGGAGTGCCGGTGACCCAACCGACGGAATTGTAAGACAAGAATTAGTGCCACGAACTCGGAATATCTTGTGGTTAAACACGAGATAATAAATGCTATTATTGTGAGGAACAGCTCCAAGCAATTGAATACAGCTTCAAGAATAGGAATATTCTTGTCGTATGTAATGAAGAATTGATATAAATTTATGGTAACAACCAATATATTAGTCAACCACTGAAGTGGTACTGAACTCGGGTGTGGGTAACCAAACCGTCGGAATAGTAGCACCAGATATATGACCAAAGAGTAGGTCATAAATTTGATTGAATGCGACAATACTTCACTTAATAGTAATGAATTTGTTTCAAAGTATTTCCACATAATTCTTGTGATATTAGTTATTGAGATAAATGACAAGCAAACCATTGAAAGCTAAGGTTATAAATAAAAATTAATAGATTTTCTCAATAAAATGTATATTAAATGAAAATGTATACCAAATGTGAGACATTTCTCCATTGATAGGGAATTGGAGGCACTCTTTGGTTGGATTTGCGGACAACATATATATCGTACGGAAGAAGTAGTAATAGGACTGAGAGTGGAATCACTGGTAATACTGTTTGTGTGAAACAGTCGGTCAGTACCGGGATATCGGAATCCCAACTCAGAGATTGTATTTGCGGACAACATATATATCGTACGGAAGAAGTAGTAATAGGACTGAGAGTGGAATCACTGGTAATACTGTTTGTGTGAAACAGTCGGTCAGTACCGGGATATCGGAATCCCAACTCAGAGTCCAATTCTGTATAATTTGTAAAATATTTTTTTGATGTTTCACTTTATTTAAAGATTGCAATTATATCCATTTTAAACTCATATTTATATTAAAATAAAGATAATTTACATAATTACTAATTTACATAAATTTAAAAATGCTGATTATAGCAAATTAAAATTGCATGGTTAAAAACAAATAAGTTTTAAAATATTGGAATAAATATAATTTCTTAATTTTTACAATTACAAACATTGGGAAAATTATTTAATTTATAATTTATAATAAAAGTGTGTTTAGTTATTAAACTTGAAGCTAACTTATAATAAACAATTGAAATAAGAAACTTACCAAAAGGGGTGAATTGCATAACATAACATCCTTGGGCATTTTGAATCAGCTCACACGATTAATAATGTTTTAGAAAATTGATAAGTACTGTGCATTATTATAAATGAAAACTATAAATGCGGTAAAAATTATTTATATACAATATATATATTCCAAGTTTTGTATAAAATATCCCAAGTTTTGTTTGTTCAGGTTTCAAATAGTTATATTATAACTAACTGTCATAGTCTCGTTGTCAATGACACATTGCGTTTAACACTAATCTTTGCTAGTGTTACCAGGACAGTTTACGATATTGAAGGACAGTCAACCAGATTATGCATTATTCTTGAGCAATTATAACTAACTGTCATAGTCTCGTTGTCAATGACACTTTGCGTTTAACACTAATCTTTGCTAGTGTTATCAGGACAGTTTACGATATTGAAGGACAGTCAACCAGATTATGCATTATTCTTGAGCACATTTCTTCAAGGACAAAAAATAAAACATTATGTACTAGTACAATAACATAATTATACATATATCAATATAACTATAACACAATGTATCATACTTAAATCTCGTTTTTATTTATATATACTATATATTAAATGTTCATATTTTTTGATGAAGTTTGAGAAACAATTTAAATTATGTCTAATCTGAACCTGAGCACTTCAAAATAACCTGACTTTTATGTAAATTGTAAATAACAATATTTATATATACTATATATTAAATGTTCATATTTTTTGATGAAGTTTGAGAAACAATTTAAATTGTGTCTAATCTGAACCTGAGCACTTCAAAATAACCTGACTTTTATGTAAATTGTAAATAACACCTATCAAAAATAAATATATACAAGTTAAAATATATTAGACCACTAATTATTACAATTTTTATTAAAATTCTTTATAAATTAAGCAATACAGTACTTGATGAATAATTATTGTGCTATTATTATTGTCAATGATATTCACGTTAACAGAAAATTATTTTATTTATTCATCAGAGTCTCAAACACCAAGATACTTTCATTGTAATTTTTACATTGAAATAATATTTATCTACCTGTGTCACTTAACGAAAGTTAAATAATGACAAAAGTGTTAACAAAATGGATCAATAAATTGTTACATTAACCAAACGTTTGTAAACCGTATTAAAAATAAACAAGTAAAAATGTGTTACATAACAACTGCACGTGTAGTGCATTTGTGTCCATTTGACGTAACATTCATAAGGAATCCCTACTTAACTGTCATATAATGTAAGGATTATATATAAATTATACCATAAATTATCATTATGTCAGTCGACTCTACAGTATCTCAATTCTCATGCCATATAAAGCAATATCAATAACAGTTGCCTTTAATAATGATTTCATTGAATACGACATAATAATAATGTAATGGATGCACAATAAAGCTAAACAAATACATGAGAATTAATACTTTTAGGGAATTTTATTGCAACGATATTTATGAGACATAAGAATATTGTAATCGTTATGTAATAAAGTATAGAATTTGAAAATAAGTTGAAATTCATAAATAGTTAGCTCTAAAAAAGTTGTTTATTTGAATACAAGTATAAATTTAGAATAATAATTTGAACGGTTGTACATAAATTTGTCTATTTTTAGATAATTATATAAATAATAAAATAATTAATAATTAATTCTCTAAACAATTCCGTATTCTTTGGCCAAACCATAGAACAGAGAATCAGTTTTCTGGAGAAGATTTTCTGGTGAATCCATTTCAGCGATGACTCCGTTGTCTAAAACCAAAATCTTGTTGTAATCCAAGACTGTATTCAATCGGTGAGCGATTGTCAAAACAGTGCAGTCACTGAACTCATCCCTAAACACATCACATGGAATTCCTTCGCGAAGCCGATCACATACTGGTGTTGAGTGAGGGAAGGGTTGTTGAGTCGGGCGGTTATGACGAGTTGGCTGAGAGGGGAGTGCTTTCCGACCACGAGTTCAATGAATCCGATAATAAGTCCAAAGGAAGTGGGGATCAGATGTCGAGACAGACCTCTCGAGTCAGCGAAAGTGAATCGACGGCACAATTGTCTCGACAAATGTCTGTGAGAGAGGAAAACGAAACCAAGAATTTGAAGGAAGAAAAGGAAAGTAAGGAAAAGGATTCAAAACTCATAGAAGAGGAGACCCAAGAGTTTGGATCCATTAAATTCAGGGTTTACTTAATGTATTGGAAGGAAATGGGACTCATATTCATATCTATATCCACAATGACTTTAATTATCTTCAATTCTTGTGAAATCGGTGCCAATTTCTGGTTAAACGTGTGGACCTCACAGAACATAACCAAAATACAGACTTCTGAAACACATGATAATAGTTATTATTTAGGTATATATTTATTGCTCATTACATTGCTATCCTTGTCTGTGTTGATACAGCAGGTGGTGATGAGAACGGGCGCCGCAAAGGCCTCGGAAGTGCTCCACAAAGACATGTTGTCTTGTATTCTGCGAACCCCTCTGTCCTTCTTCGATGTGACCCCTTTGGGACGAATCATAAACCGATTCAATCGTGACTTTCAACAGATTGATGAACAGATACCCTTTCTATTAGACCAGACTATTCTTTGTATCGTTAATTTTCTAATTATTTTGGCTGTTATTGTGTCTTCAAACGCATATCTGATTATTTTTATGCTTATTGTCTTCATATTGTTTTTAATAATTTCCGTGAGTTATAGACAATATTTTATAGTTATTCCGTAAATATTCAAGTAATGAACTTAATTATTTTAAAACAGAGAATATATTTGTGGACTTCGAGACAATTAAATCGCTTAAATTCTATCACTCGGTCACCGATTTATAGTCACTTTAATGAATGCATTTCCGGTGCCGTCTCCATACGGGTCTATAAAGTCCAACAATTATTTACCGAAAAGTTGCAAAACTTTGTTGATGTGAACAATAATATAGCAAAACATGTTTACCAAACAACCATGTGGTTTGTAGTTCATTTACCAAGTTGCATTTGAAATAAAATTTTATTATAATTTATTTTAAAATATTCTTAGGATTGATATTTGGTCAATACTTATCGGCACATTAATTACAATCCCAAACGCACTGATAGTGGTCTTAGAGAGAGATCAAATAACCCCCGGTTTGGCCGGTTTTTTGCTTATGTATGCCATTGACGTGATTAATAGCATTGCAATGTCACTGCGAATGGGCGGACAACTCGAGACAGAAATGGTTTGCGTTGAAAGAGTCAAAGAGTATACACAACTCGAACCGGAATATAGTTGGGAATCAACGGATGCTAACAAACCCTCTGATCTTTGGCCCCGAAGTGCTTCCATAGAGTTCATCGATTATAGCGCTTCCTATAGACCGGGACTCGAACCGGTTCTCAAGAACTTGAACTTCA